TAGTTTGAGAGAACATTTTCTATCTTTGATTCGAGCGAATGGATTCAATTTTAATTTTTTTAAGGGAGTTTTGGCAGATTTGATTAATTTGGTTGACACAATTTAAAAAAATCTCGCGGCGTCTGCGGGAGTCGAACCCGCACAGCAGGTGCGTCGTAGCTTAATCGGTAGAGCGTTCGCTGCGCAAAAAGGCTTCTCTGCTTTGTGTTTTGGACTCCCGCCGACGCCGCGAGTTTTTTTCACAACTGGCTCAACTAAATGTTTGTGTTATCCCTATCTTATTAATTTTTGCCTCACAATTCATTTGAGCAAGCAACTTTAATAAAACCCCGTTTTCAGCTCGTTCAACCGGTCGTGAAGTGAGTCGTGAAAGAGCCCGATGCTGCTCGCAATCATGTTCCTCTTATGGCAGAGGTAACTGCAACGTTTAATTTTTTATTCCGCAGAAGTTAAAAAAATTCTGAAATGTTAAATTTTTTCTCTATAGTAATTAACTCTGCAAATGCGTCGACATTACATACTTTCTAACAGGAAATAAATCAAACTCTGGAATATTCATAAAATTACGGATTATAAAGCATATGAATATCGTTGTGCTGTAGAAATTTTGCTAGACGTCATCTATTTTACCGGCGTCGGAACGTTGTTACATTCGTACCCATGACCATAATCATCTTTTAAACCTATTGATCATTAACACCTGTTGGTAATTTTGAAAAATCGACCGAACCACATTATTTGCGGTTTTTTGGACCAGAATTTTGGAAAATGCATTAGCTGAGTGGGATTGTTGCCTAAGACATCTTTAAAGTATATACGTATATTGTTACATCTACCGTTTTGCAATAGTATTCCACTGATATACAAAATGTGCTGTACATTCTAATTGAAATGCGTAGAATTTGCATTTAGTGAAGCTAAATGAGATTTTCAAGAATATCCACGGTCATACTAAAGGGGTTGTACATTTTACTTTATATGTGGATAAGTTGGCCCTTTGGTAAAGCTTACTGAAGTATCACCTTGCTCTTTGTCTGTTAGCTCATAAACCCATTGTTTGCGTCGTTGTAATCGGGTCTGTCTCTTTGAAATTATAGCAGCTAGACACTATGTTGTGGTTTTAGTATGTTGTAGAACATTTTTATATTCTTTGAGTGGAATCGTGTATTAGTACGACAGTGAATTTGCAGTTGCCTTCTAAAAATACGCATCTTCATCGAAACACATTAATTTGATAGCCTAAATTTATTTTGTGCAGCCTAAGGCGACAAGACATCAAACAGTAGTTTCGCGTAATGTTTTAGAGTGTTGTCAGCGGAGAAGATCGTCCGTTGAAGCTAGAACAAGGGCAGCAAAATCACAGTCCTCCAGTTGTGAGTTACTTTTTTCGAGTGCTTGAGATACGAAAATATACTGCTGATTCAGTTTTACTTTGCTTGAAATTAAAACATGTAAATGTCAAACACCTTCTTATATGTGATTTATTTTAATGTAAGTCATTCCAATTTCTTTCTAATCACACAGAAAGTAGAAATTTCTAAAATTTTAAGTGTTTTCACCATGTTAAGTTAATCCGAAAATGCGTCGATATTAAATACTTCCTGAGAAGAAAGAGATCAAGCATTGGAATATACATACAGTAACGCATAATAAAGCATATTAATATCGTTCCGATGTAGAGCTTTTGCTAGCCACACGCCGGCGTCGGGCGTTGTTCCATTCATACATATGGTAATAATCATAGTTTAGTCTTATGGATAAATAGCACGTGTTGATAATTTTTCAAATTCTACAGAACCTCGGCAAATATTAACATGGTCAAGTTCGGCTTCTCAACTTGAATTCTATAGAAACGCATTATTTTGCCGTTCTTTTGACCAGAATGTTGAAAATAAGCATAAGCTGTGTGGGGTTGGCGAAAAGGAGGTCTTCAAAGTCCATGTCAATGCTTCTACAATTTTTCAAGGGTATCCACTGTTATACTGAATGTGTTGTACATTCTAATTGAAATGAGAAATGTTGGCCATCTGGAAAATGTTATTGAAGTATCTCCTTGCTCTTTGTGTAAAAGCTTATGAAGCCGTTGTTTGAATCTATTACATCGAGTCCGCCTCTTTGAAAGCATTACATTCCGGCACTATAAGGTTCTCAAACTTTTTCATATATTTGAGGAGAATAGTGGAATTGGTGCAAAAGTGAATTTATATTTCCCTACTAGAAAATATGCATCTTCATTATAATCCATTATTTTGGTAGCATAAATGTTTATCGTGCATCTATAGGCAACATAATATCAAGCAATAATTGCGCGTAATTTTTTGGAAGGTTGCCAGCAGGGAAAACCATCGGTTGAAGCTAGAACAAGGGCCGTAAAATCACAGTCGTCAGGTGGTGAGTTACTTTTACGGGTGCTTGAAATACGAAAATATGCTTCTGATTCAATTTGACTTTGCTTGAAATTAAAACATTGAACGGCAAACCCCTTCTTATATATGATTTATTTCGAGGCAAGTTATTCCAAATTCCTGTCCAAACATTTTTCGTTCTAAGGTGTGCCTTTTTTGCGAAAATGACCAGCAAACAAATAAACATTTAAGGAAATTAATCTGGGGTTTCATAAATAAACACACCTTTCAATACTGATTTACATAAATTCATTAAATTGCTCGATTGTGAGCAATTATTTAAAATAGTTGACGTAAAAACGATATAT